ATACTTTTCTCAGTCACACCTTGGGTGAACAAGGGAGACGAGCATGGTTACGCTTGACTGTTGTTGTTGCTTTGTTGTAGCGATGGAGTTCAAATTAATCCGTTTCGATCGGGTGGCGATGAAGGGGCGGGCCTCGGTGTTGTTTGACCCAATAGCGAAGCACGTTTTTTCACGTACGTTTTATTACGCAGCGGTTTGAATTCGGATATGTGTTGGGCATACTTGTTTATAATGGAAAAAAGCTAATTATTTATTGGAATGTTAATCACAAATAAACGGATAAGAAATTTGTATTTTCATGGTTACTTAACTGTTAACAATCGTTATACTATTATTCAGCTGTGTTAAACCTTGTTATTATTGTGGTAATGTATAAGGAATGTTGGAGCATGTTAATTCTACCATTTTGGCCCACTTGATCAAAACTAATCGAATCTCTCTCTTTCCTCACTTCACTCCGTGTTGTTGTTGAGAAGGAGATTCGATAGGTTTGATTTCAGTGGGCCAAAATGGTAGAAAACATGCTCAAACATTTCCACTTATAATTTACCCATCATAACAGCGTTAACAGCAGCTGACAAATATTAATAACCTGGATTTGACAGTAAGTAACCAATTGAATACAAATATCTTATCCGTTATTTAGTGATTACATCCATAAATAATTAGCTTTTTTCCCATTATAAAAAAGTTTAATGCCCCACATATCGATCAAACCGCTGCGCTAATAAACGTACGTGAAAACGTGCCTTCGCTATTGGGACACCACACCACACACAGCAACACTTACTAGTCACCTCCAGCGGATCACGTGAACTCATCAGCAGGACAAGCCATGAGCAACAGGACATGCAGCAGCGAACTTATCCTCTCCTGTCACCAAAGGCTGTGACTGATCATTATTCATGGAGTTAGGATCGCTTTACCTGGCTGCAGGAGTCTACGCTTGCTTACCTGCTACTCACACCATAACAGACAGACAGAAGACAGACAGTCACTACAGTGTACATAAACACCACACAGCACACATGCCACAACAAGATACACAGAGACACTCACACTCCTGTAATAGATCACTTTTAAATTGAAGGAATATTGGCTGAAGATTTGTCATGGAGTTCAATATCAACGCGCAAATTGATTCCTCATACAGCATGGCTGCTATAGAGCTATATTCACAGTCCTATTTAAAGGAATGTGCAGCATCTTTCAAATAGGCTTACTACTTTGACTCTATTACACACGTTAGACTGAGAACAATGATACTACTAACTCAACTAAACGTGGAGTAGGTAACTTTGGAGATACCAAGCTCGAAGCTGCGCTAAATTCGAACATACACACCGGTACAGAGATCTGTGCCACTTCTCACATAGACTCACTCCAACACACACGTACTCCCACATGACTAATGAAGTACGAGATACTATCTGTGCACATTACGGAAGACTGACAGGCAGGTAGGCCATCCAGTGACCTTTACCCGCGTCAGATGATTGCTGGTACGTGCTACTTTTACAGTCAGGCTTACACAGATGACTTGTGTATGGCTTACTTTTACGTCAAGCAGAACTGTGTTAAGTTATTCGTTGCTATACGAGATGTTGAGTAGCATTCAATGGAATATAACAACAACTGTATACTCGAGACGGTTTCTCAAACTTACCTACCTCCACCTAAATTAGTACTAGATGACTGAAAACAGGGGATACATTTTGGAGTCATTAAAGAGATCCTGCCTCTGGAACTTGAAGTATATACTTCAAGATCTGATACTTTCTACAAATTATTAATAGCTGAGATTTACGGCGTACAGTAAACACGGCAAGCTGTTAAGATCTCTGGCAAATGTTCATTCTAATTTTAATATACTTCAATAAATGATTAGTTAAGAGGTGCGCAAGGAGAAGCTTTTCCAGATCCTTTTTTTTAAAGGTGAGAACATTTTTTTGCAGTCCCTGAAATGCTTCACATTGACAGAACACTAATGTATTCATGTACCAGCACTGACTTAGCTGTACTGATGTACAGATCTATATCGCCAAATATATACTTAGCTGCGAATACAAAAATAGTTATTGATTCGTGTACAGTTTTTATAGTAGCGCAGAAATACGCTCAGATGATCGGTCTGCAGCTCCATCACATCCGATCTGCAGCGAGAGAGCAAATCATCCCATTAAGCGTTATTGCGCTGCTACCCTGACACCTGATAAACATCGAGGCGAAAGGGCAAACGTTGGTCATATTGATCTGCTCAACAGATCAGATTACCCAAACCCAGGGCGACAAGCAGTGAGTAGAACACCTCATGTGAACCAATGCAGGGAGGAATCATCCCCGTCACGTTAAAAACCTGACGGGCTCCCATCATTCCCTAATCCCCATTCTAATCCACATTGGAAAAACTAATATTTATAATCCTGGGAAACATTTCTGGCAGGAAAATCTTAACGCTTTGCATCGTGTTTCTGTTCCCTTTATTATAACATCAAATTAAAACCAGTGGTGAGATAGTAATCAGATCTTTGAGTAAAAGTAGAAGTACTTCAGATCTTGTACTTTGGAGTAAAAGTAGAAGTACTCAGATCTTGTACTTGAGTAAAAGTAGAGTACACAGTCTTTGTACTTGAGTAAAAGTAGAAGTACTTCAGATCTTGTTACTTGAGTAAACAGTAGAGTACACCAGTCTTTGTACTTGGTAAAAGTAGAAGTACTCAGAATCTTGTACTTGAGTAAAAGTAGAAGTACTATACTCAGATCTTGTTACCTTGAGTAAAAGTAGAAGTACACAGTCCTTGTACTTGAGTAAAGTTAGAAGTACTCAGATCTTGTACTTTAGTAAAAAAGTAGAAGTAACTTTAGATCTTGTACTTGAG